ATAAATTCATAGTGTAAGCCTAACTAAAAAGGTCGGATGTAAAGTCCACCCAAATACCAGGAACAAATAACACGTTTGGCCTGAACGTATAGAATAGAGTAGATGACATGGGATTTGAAACGCTCCCTGAGCGGTTAGGGTGTGGAAAATGTAGCCCTTAGGGAATTTACGAAGTAGAAATTTTTCCAATGGACGAAAAAAAATTGGGGCGGACCTAACTCCGATTGAGTTTTGTACAGATGGGCGTGTAGGCGAAGGGAAGAGGCATGTAATGTAAACCATTGCGTCAGTGTGTTATAGCTCCTCAAAGATCCCGCATCGGTGCAGTTCTTAAGTCAGTTCCGACTCAGTTTGCTTGAAGTGCAGCCGTAGAAGTTCGTTCGTTGCAGAAAAAATCATCTCTGACGATACCAGTAACTTCAAGACTGAAGCTCATAAGTACATCTCAACTCTGCCAATTTCAACTGTTCCTGCGAATCTCTCTGCAGACAGTGAACCTCGCCGCACCACAGAATCCATCGAACAGGATCGCCACAAACGCATCAATATGGGCATCGGATACTCAACAAATCCAGATGAAAATGAAATAACAACACCCGAATTTGCACTGCCTGGTGGTGTGGATCCTCATACGACGAAAATATGCGAGCAGATTTTTCTTATCCATACCTGTGCACGCCTTAATCCTTACGTAGACTTACTCTCTGATACTACCTTTGTTTTACATAATGCATTTGTCGGACGATTGGCCGGAAGCTGGTATCACCGTGAAGTGAAAAAGGAAATAAGTGATGTAGGAATTAAAATCATCATTGAAGGTGTTCGAGACATTGTCCGGTGTGTTTCAGATATCTCATTGTGTGTCCCATTCCTCGAATCACACTATATTATGGTGCATGGTCTTGAATTCGTGCTAGCAGAATTAGTTCTTGGGCGCATTAGAAATATGAGGGAGCCTACCAAGTTCTTCACTCTCTTTAAACTTTTCCTTCAAACTTTAAATGAAATTAGAACAATTGAAGGGAACATCAACCTAGTCGCAGCTATATGTGGAAAACGCAATGTCTATCCATTGTCTTGGCTTTTATCTGTGGAGTCAGTGGAGGATTTGATGCCGAAGAGCAGTGAGGCTGAAGCATGCGCTGTGTGTCTCGATACCAAATTCACGCCGCAAACCGACTTTGGCGTGCTACCGAACTGCAAGCACGTCTTCTGCACAACTTGCATTAGAGAATGGCTAAATGTGAGGTAAGTTCAATGTTTGAAATATTTATTCCTGAATGATGACTTGAATTTGTATTTTAAAACCAACTGACTAGTTAACAATTCAAATTACGAGGTCAGCATGGAGTTAAAAAAAGCAAAATAATATGTAGATGCTTTTTTGTGTAGATAGGTTTGATAGAAGTATGACGCTGGAATTACCAAAGTATAAGGGCTGTTTGTTTGCTTTTTCGTTATCTATTACCCCCAGGGAAAAACAATTTTTTTTAATTGAGAATAGGAAGTTATTACAAATATGGGAAAAGAGGTTTGGATTTAAAATTGAAGTTCGATTTTTGAAGTGATGCTTTGAAAACCGGTTCATAATTTCATCGTAGTCAAAACATGAGTTCCATATTTTGAGTTTTAGCTTGAACGGGTCTTTTGATGGGTATCACTTTCGGTTGAAAACTCTCAACAGGATTAGGATGAGTCGTAATATCTAGAAAATCAAGTAGCAAATGAATATTCTGTGCAGAAAGAAGCTACGATTTCCTCCTCATAAAATAGCTTGTTCGACAAACAAATGTGGATTTGTCGTTAATTATGGGTTTGCCCAAGTTTCTTTTCTTTTGGCAATTCTTTTCAATTGATTGAAAAATTACTAATTGTCACCGGGAAATAACGGGATTTGTGATAAGTAAATTCGGGATAATTGGACACCCAAATCGCAGCCGCTGCGAATATATTTATCATAACGCTAAAGTAAATGCTTCCTCTAAATTTAAATCTAGTTTAATTTGGATATATTTATACATTAGAGTTTTAATGAATGTGAGAATCACAATCATTCAGGAATTATTTCCCGAGCAATGACGATCATATTCGTCATGTTAATCTCTGTTGAGCTGATTATAAGTTATTTAGGCCTTTTCGGCGAGTAATAATAGTAATAAAAAATGAAGTGCTTATTTCAAAATTTGATTATGCTGCAACAATATTCCGCCAACAAAATTATAAAGTAAAATAGACCAAAAGAAGTGAAAACCCATTCAGACCGCAGTTGTGTTCAGCAGTTAAGAACAAGATATTGCTTTTCCTGAAGCAAGCTTTTATTAATTTCACAACTCTTAGAACAACGTGAATCTTATAAGATCTTTGTTACAAATTAAAGATATGAGGTTAAATTTCAAAATCAGAAAAGATTGTTAACAGAAAACTTAATGTGAAATTGATGTCTTATCGTTTAATTAAAGAGAGAAATACAATTTATCATCGATTTGTTCATATTTATTACAATGCAAAAATTAACAGCGTTTCCTCCAATAAATATAATCATGGAATCAACATTCTAATACTGGATTCATTCTTTCTTCCGTACAGTCAGTCCTGTCCGTTGTGTCGTGAAGCAGTTACGTCTTTCATCACTCGTGAAGAATTCCTTGAATTTGTTGCGAAAAAACGTATGGTGAAAGCCAGGCTACGCACGCTCGGCGAAACAACGTGTATATAGTGAAAGCCAGGCTACGCACTCACGGGGAAACAACGTGTAGTTGAAGCCACGCTACGCACGCGCGGTGAAAGAACGTGTAGTGGAAGCCTGGCTACGCACGCTCGGGGAAACAACGTACGTGTAGTGGAAGCCAGACACCATATTTTCAAAATAGTAATTTTGCATTGTTTAGCCGTGTTATGGAGAGTGTCTCTTTTGGTAAACAAATGCCACTAAACTCTCGTCATGCAAATAAAACGGAGATATATGATGCCTTTTGTTTACTTTCACTATCCACCTCGTAAATAGTTTGAATTTATTATTGATTCAAGAAATAAAGAGGAAGTGGCGTTGTTTGATAACGTAAAATCGATGTTGCTATTCGCATTGAATATTGAACATAACCAGCGCTTGGGCTGCACAAGCTCCTAGTGTATTGCCTTTGCAGAAAATTATTCTGAAGCTTGGAAATGTTTTGTTCAAAAATAGAGCTCTCACACCACGGATGAGGTGTAGTTACAAATACTCACACATAAACGATTGAACATTTAGTAACACCGATCAGCTAGTAGAGAAATGAAATTTCTCTATTAGCGCACAGAAATGAACAAAATATTTTACGTACATTGTGATAACCGTTGGAAGTTTGACGATTGATTTTCATGCAGTGATAACTGAACTCGAAAATTATTGTCGAACATTTAATTACAACTTACTGGAAATGGCGACCGGTGAGTCATTTATGAGTTGGTGGTTTCCTCTAGAACGGGCATGCGTTGACTACTTCAATGGAGAAATCCTGCGTTAATCTATGGTATTTTTCGCGACTTAGTTAAGTAATTTTGTCTTATCTTCCTTATGGATTTTGAATAGGAATGCATGGAATATCGATCAGTTGGAAATAAAAAGGATAACATATGCACATAGCGAAAATGAAATAGAATTGCTGAGCTTCACGAACACCGGAGTTTAAATTTGGCCACGATGTTAACAGATTTAAAACAAAGTTTATCAAATTTATATTAGAAATCAGTGATTTAAAACTAAATAGCTGGAATTACATTCAAAATCTCAGACTGATTTCTTAAATACGAAGGAAGTTACCATGAAAGAACTTAGTGAGTAAATCTCGAATGAGACAACTCGATCTGTGTGGCGGCTGACCGCGTAAATGCATAGCCTTAATCATTCATAATTCGAATAGCTTCAGAATATTGTCAATTCTTCCTAGCGATTTTTTCCTCAAAGTTGGTTTTATATTCCCCCCCCCCCTAGTTTGCCTTCAAATCTAAGAGTGCTTTAATGGCCAGGGATTCACTTAGCGTTATTTTTTCTTTAGCCAGTCCTCTTCTTCTCGCCATTAAACGTTTTATGAAACTATCGCAAGTTCATTCGATGTTCTGCTACATATGTTCTCGATTTTTTTCAATTTAACATTCATTATCCATATCTACTTTTCGAAATTTTGTACATATTTTTGCTGCATGAACTAGTCTGCAAATTACGAAATCTGTCTCGGAAATGGAAGATTAAATTTTCAAGCTCATCGAAATTGAAAAAAATAAATTGAAAAAGGTTTATTGTAAAAGATCTGGAATGTGAGTCGCAGTACAGAAACGAAGAGAATAAAAAACTTTTTAGTACGGGAAAAATGAAGTGAATCGTGAGAAACCCTGAAGATAATGTGTCATTTGATGCGGATGCATGGGCCGAATCCAAAATCCTAAAATTTCAACTAAAAATGGACCACTCCTTACATGGGAGGATGCTTTCGGTTGACTGAAAGGAGGTGGGCGTGTGGGTCAAGGGGCAGCCGATTCTAGGCGTCTGGTGTCAATGAGATGTCTGATTATATTCATTATAATTGTATTATATGCTTAGATCATATGTAATTGAGACGTAATATTCACTTGACCTGATAGAAATTGATGGAAAATTACTAGACCTTAGTCAGCGTCTAGAAGACATCACGTGATAGATCACGCGATCAAGACTCTAGTTGTGGGCGGAAGCCGAGATCCCATAAAAAGGCTGGGAACCTTAATTAGTAAGGCCCCCGCAGTAGTTGATAAGCGCTCCACGATGTAACTCGCGTCATAATAGTTTCCCGACCTTACGGTCGACGCCGCAGACTCTACCTGTATCGTATAACACTCGTGTATTACCACCCCATATCAAGATAAGTTATCTAGACAACTGTGTCTTACTTAGCCCTCACGCCTTGTCACGTATCCCGATTCAGGGGTCGCTTAATAAATAGCGCTGACATAGGCTTAATGGTTCAGTGTTTCGTTGCTCACGAGCAGTGACGGTTCTGTGCTTGAAAAAGTTCCAACTTTGTGCTGTGTTATCATTCATACTTGAAAGTTTCTATATTACCAAACAATGTTCAATTTGTTGAACTCGAGTAACAATGCCTTCGTGTCTGCCGCTCAGATTGAAATCAGTGTTCATATTTCGGCTTCAGTGAACAGTGAATCTCAAAACACGAACACCACTGAACCAGATTCGAATATTCAAGTGACACTCAGCCAACACGGCTGCGGCGCAATCATGGACTCAACTGAGAACTGCAAACATGAGGTATCAAAATCCAAATATAACGACGTTGAAAATCATTATGAGATGGTCCATTCAATATTAATCAAACTTCAGAGTATCCATGGTATTGTTCGTAGTAAAGAATCGAGTAATGCTCTTGCTGAGATTTTAGCTGCCTTGTCAAAAGCGTTTGCTGATCCTTCGGACGTTAACTGCCGTGAAGTCAAGAAGGGAATCAGTGACCATGGAATGAAATGGATACTTTCTTCTACTGAAGAAATTATTCGTGCAATCTCTCCTATTTCATCTTGTTGGCTATACGACCGATCGGACAGAATGAGGCTGCGTACTCTTAAAAGTCGACTGAAAGCTTTGGTTATTGCTCACATCAACGGTAATAGTAGTCCAGTCGTAATCGAATCCTTTGTGAAACTTTTAAAAGATATTTCCAAGGCATCTAAAGTTATGAAGAGGAACATCAAAACAACGACCGTAATTCTCAAAGGTAAACGGTATCACGATCTGTGGTCTCGCCTTTTCACTGCCAAGTCAGTACGAGATTTGATCCCGGACAGTGGTAAAGTGGAATCGTGTGCTTTGTGTTTCTTAACAGAAATTACGTCAAAAATCAACTTTGCCTTCTTCTCGAGCTGCCAGCACATCTTTTGTCGACCTTGCATTCTCGAATGGATGAACATCAAGTATGTTGACATTTTGAACAACTGAGAAATGCAGGGAATATGCGACTCTGGTCGGCCAGTTGTTTAGTTGCTGAGGAAGCTCGTATATATGTTGTAGTGTAGAATGCAATGGATTTTTCTATCATATTTAGACTGCATATATTGCCAGTCCTGTGCTCTCGTTGGATAAAATTAGGATCATGCAATTTTCCTCTAGTTTAATTCTGGTAATGCAATTTCACTCATTTAGCCACAAAATCCTCATTTCTTAACTTTATTATGGCATGCAATTTTGTTCAGTTCACTTGCTTTCTTGCTGGAAAGCGATATATACTCTGATTTACCTGGAGTTACAATGGGGCACAGGCCGTTTATTTAAATTTGGGTATGAGTTCTCGACTCCGTCAGCTAATCCACTGACGGTTTTTCAAGTCGCATACACCAATCACAGACGAGAAATTTGGCGCCACATGTACGTCAGCGAGTTTTGATAATACGGCCCCTGAATTACCCCTGTAACACCCCTTCGATATTATTGAATAAACTTTATTTCTTTATTTAATTTCCATGTTCATCGCTTGTGCAGCCAGTCGTGTCCAGTGTGTCAACAACCCATGATGGACCTGAGCACTCGGGATGAATTCGTGAGCTTCAAGAGGCGACAATTCAAAATGGAAGACAAGATACGAAGACGCGCCCTCAGAGCAGCGCGAAAATCTTCGCGGTGTACGAAAAAAGAAATGAAGGATTAGACATGATTGCAATTACTGCTTGCTGAATTGCCAAGAATTGCATGAGTGAATAATTCTTATATTTTAAAGTAATTTATCTCAGTCAGGCTTTCTTTCGTGGAAACAGAAAATGATTACAAGAGAAGGGATTTGGTGCTGCCGTTTGCTTTTAAGAATTGTTTAAAAATTTTTGAATCCAACATAAATTGCACTCGTATGACAGATTATAAAAATGTCTTGGGGGAAAAATTCTTATCGAATTAAAAATTTTCATTCATTCACCTTCATACATGTATGGAAACCTTCAATTGAATTTGAATGGAAATTCAAGTCCGAAACCGAAGCGGGAAAATTTGGGCTCACATTACAAAACTGTTATGAAGCTCGAGTGTTGAACTAATTTGGACTTCAGAGTTTTTGCATCAATTCTTAGACGTGAAACTATCAGTATTGACACAAGGACTGATTTTTTACTTGAGGACTAGTGAAAAGTGAGAGAAAAGACGAGTGGGAGAAAAGACGAGTGGGAGAAAAGACTAGTGCAGGGAGAAAAGACTAGTGGGAGAAAAGACGAGTGGGAGAAAAGACGAGTGGGAGAAGGGACAAGTGGAAGAAAAGACGAGTGGGAGAAAAGACGAGTGGGAGAAAAGACAAGTGGGGAAAAAAGACAAGTATGAAAAAGACGAGTGGGAGAAAAGACGAGTGGGAGAAAAGACGAGTGGGGGAAAAGACGAGTGGGAGAAAAGACGAGTGAGAGAAAAGACGAGTGGGAGAAAAGACGTGTGGGAGAAAAGACGAGTGGGAGGAAAGACGAGTGAGAGAAAAGAAGAGTGGGAGAAAGGACGAGTGGGAGAAAAGACGAGTGGGTGAAAAGACAAATTAATTTATACAAGGGAGATTTTACGGCTGGGGGGCCTGAAGCCTGTACATAATGTAAAGGTACAATAGGCAGTTGTTATCTAACGAATAATTATTCATTTTAATTAATGATTCGCGTTTTGTATTCCTATAAAACGTACTAAGATCCCCCGACGCGTTCGTGCAGTGCTTGCTTGGAAAAGATACTAATAGAATCCACCATTATGGACACAGGCTCAAATCAAAGGACTATTTAGATAACAGGTAGAGTCCATAAAGAAAACTTTGAAATGCAATTTTCTCCAATTCTGATGCGTGCTGTTACCAGCGATATAAAGTGCATGAGCTAATTTGCGAGACTAATATGATTTAGGATAAGAAAGAATGGCGCTTTTCCTACAAATTCCATCAGTCCAGGCATTTAACCCTGCAGGAACAAGTTCCAAGTTATTGGCTAAGAACGATGTTGAACGTATGCTATGTTTTTAGATCGCCCCATAGACGAAATGCTACTTTAAATATCAATTCTCATTCACGATTGCATACTAGTTAATATTCTTGTGGGATGTCCTCTAATCTACCTCGATTAGAGGGAGAATTACTAAAAAGTGTTACGTTGAAAACCTCGAATTAAATAAGATTTGGAGACTTGTGTTTAATTCAACGCGTATTCCATTACTCCGTGATGAAAATATAACGCAAACAGGACTATTTCAAATAAAATGAAATGAATTAGCCTAGTTGTCAAAATGTCAGTTGAGTGTTGACTAACTAAAAAGAAAGAAAAAAAAGTTAACTACAATGTGGATCAGCTTGACCGTCCAAACACTTCGCAGTTCCAAGCTCCCAAGATGCAGTGAGTCAATGCGTGAGACGCAGTGAGTCAATGCGTGAGACGCAGTGAGTCAATGGGTGAGACGCAGTGAGTCAATGGGTGAGACGCAGTGAGTCAATGCGTGAGACGCAGTGAGTCAATGTCCGTGAGGCGCAGTGACTGACAGAGTACCGTGAGACGCAGTGGCTGGCAGAGTGCCGTGAGACGCAGTGACTGACAGAGTGCCGTGAGACGCAGTGACTGGCAGAGTGCCGTGAGGCGCAGTGACTGGCAGAGTGCCGTGAGACGCAGTGACTGACAGAGTGCCGTGAGACACAGTGCCTGGCAGAGTGCCGTGAGACGCAGTGACTGACAGAGTGCCGTGAGACGCAGTGAGTGACAGAGTGCCGTGAGACACAGTGCCTGGCAGAGTGCCGTGAGACGCAGTGACTGGCAGAGTGCCGTGAGACGCAGTGACTGGCAGAGTGCCGTGAGACGCAGTGACTGGCAGAGTGCCGTGAGACGCAGTGACTGCAGAGTGCCGTGAGACGCAGTGACTGGCAGAGTGCCGTGGGGTGCAGTGACTGGCAGAGTGCCGTGGGGCGCAGTGACTGGCAGAGTGCCGTGAGACGCAGTGCCTGGCAGATTGCCGTGGGGCGCAGTGACTGGCAGAGTGCCGTGGGGCGCAGTGACTGACAGAGTGCCGTGGGGCGCAGTGACTGGCAGAGTGCCGTGAGACGCAGTGCCTAGCAGAGTGCCGTGGGGCGCAGTGACTGGCAGAGTGCCGTGGGGCGCAGTGACTGGCAGAGTGCCGTGGGGCGCAGTGACTGGCAGAGTGCCGTGAGATTGTTCATTGCAGAGCATCACAAGACCGTCATCAGCGAGGGAGTCTGTCACTCATTACGTCGCTCAGCTCCCTCATTACCTCGCATAATGTGCTCCTGTTTGGCCATCGTACATCGACGTTACACTCTTGTTCTTAGTCCTCTTCCAAGGTCCTCGGGGTTGACAATCAATAATTGTTTTCCCTCATTAATCGAAGTTATTATTTTAGCAATAATCACTTTGGTTCTTTCAACACAGTTATAGCTACTATTAATGCTATAGTTCTTTAACACAACCTCTGCCGTTGCCAAAACTATACAATTACAATATTCAACTATCATTTTTAACGATCATTCAACTGTTTTTTTTCCACCATGATTCTAAATGATACGAGTACTTTCGCTTTGCAATTGCTTTCATTACTTATACTTCACTCAAGCACCTAGGCTGGCTCCTAAAGCTATTCCTACTTCAGAATGAATGCAACTTCAACACAAATTCATTGGAATATTAAAGATATTTTAGCTTCAATGTCATTTTTTAAGAATAACATGTATAGTGAAAAGTAATCACTTTGTAACACGTACATGTTTCGCCGATTCCTTTCCTAATGCATTCCTTTTTCTAATGTTAATTATGGATTCTGTTTCGTTTTATGAAATTCGTGGAAAACGCAAGCGGCAGGAAAAAGTGTTAATTTACTTTTTTCATTATTAATTTACTTTATTATCCCGGTTGAATTTGTACTTGACGCATACCATTCCTACGACTTCGACTTTAAATATTTTTCATATCTCTAAATTCTTTAGACGCTGAAGTTTATTAAATTGAAAAAATTCTGTGCAAAAATTCATTCAGTTAAGGTACACAATATGCCAGATAATTGGAAAAGAGCATGAACATTTTTTCGAAAAACGGAGAAGTTGAAGAGAAGAGCTGTGGAGGTATGTAGCCTGGGCTAAGCAAGGGAAAATCGATGCAGCGCGAGAGAAAGCAGATCAAGAACGAGGGAAGGCAAGAATTGGGTGATGATGCTTGTCGTGTTTCGTACAACAAAAGAGATAAAAATATAATATGCATGGATGCTGTCATCGAAAAAAGGCGGCAAATAAAAGTCACTTTTATGAAGCACTAATAACAATTTGTTACAATGTAAGGAGGAATGTGTGGACGGACAATCGAAGATGTTGTAGGAAGTAAATATGGCACATTTGGGTTTATGAATCGAAACATGAGTGTAACTAGCTTGAATAAAAATTGTAAGTATGAGTGCAGTGTAACCAAAAGTAATATGCCAAATTGATGAATAGCATGCAAGTTCAAATCTGTGGGAATCGGAAGTATAAATGAATCCAAGAAAGAGTCTTTTGATACATGAATGAGACACCGAAATAAAAATTAAGACATATTTGAGTCAAATACCAATGGGGAAATGTCTCCAGCTGGAAAGCAGTGGGCGGATGAAGATGAATACGTACAAATAGGGAGATAGCTGGAAATAGGGAAATTGAAGGAAATAATAAAAAATATAGCTACAGAGAAGTCCTGGAAAAAATTTGGTCAGATATTTGAAGAGAAATGAAAATTAGATATTTATTTTTTGTGGAAATTAGGGGTCATCCGAAGTTTGACAGGTTAACATAAACACAATTAAATATCAGGGCCAGAGCGCGGTGACAAACTGCATGCAGTCATCTTGTTAGGAGTGTTTTAGGTCGGGAGAAAGTTTTTATGTTGCCCTGATAAAAGGGATAGGCGGATATTATTTTCAATATTCCTGGTCATTCATTAATAACAGGTTGAAATGCCTACAATCTGAAATTAGAGTGGTTCATTCTTATGGATTAAAATTAAGTTTGTTTGATGACGATGATTAGGGTTGGACTAAATAGTCGTCAGTTTTTGAATTTCGGATTATATAATTAACTTGAAATTATTTTGACGCCAATTCATTTCACAGAACTTTTACAATTGCTTATTTTGCGTCGAGTGTGACGGTCAGAAGGCTATCAATGTATTGCAAACGTTTTACTCTCCACAAAATGACAAAAAAGCTGGACCCCTAATAAAGCTAATATCATATTAACATCAAAGAATTTCAGGAATAAAATCATATTATTAAAGGCCCTTTGTCAATTTTGTCTTGCAATTTCCTTCGGCAATATGGCTTTTGCCGTCTATTCGACCGGTGCAACCGAAGTGGCAGATCATGCGTGTAGGCGTGAGGGCGTGGCAGATGAGAGGGTCGAGCTCGGCCTATATAAAGAGCTGACCTCGCGCGGTCTGGTCATTCAAGGAGAAGCCGCTGACGGGGACACGCACCAAGCGCAGTGAGTCTTGGGCAGCAATATTTGCTGCTGTTTCGTTTAATTTTTCGTGCATTTTTAGCGTTATAACTTTTATATTAAAATTTTCTGTATGTACAATTAAAGTGTCTAAGGTGCTGGATGAATTTTAAAATTTTGCAGCGCCCGGAACGTTTTTTTTATTTCAAATCGAGCCAGTGATTTTGAATCATGGATCTCAAATTTATTCGATGGATTAATTTATCAAAAGAACGAATAATTAACGAAGCTTTTGCTTATGCGACTAGGATCTACTCCAATAAAGCTAAAAATATAAACAAATGTTTTGAATCTGGTGAAGTAAATTTTAATGACACGCTCTATGAGGAAATTTTAAATAATTTTATCGAAATTTACCTTGATTATCATCACAGAGCTTTTAATTGAAGCCTTGATATGATGTAATTCATCTCAATGGCCGCCACCATCTGTCCTGCCCGCTGCTCTGCTCTATATACTAATATTTACTGAGCATAAACTTGCACTCTCCATCCATTATTATGTTCCTAACTAAGTGCTTCTCCAGTTGAAAGTTTATTACTGAAATTCTGTAAGTTCTTGTTATGCTAAATATTTAAAGTAGTATTGTTCGTCTCGCCCTGAGATCAGCAAACTATGCTCGAGGTTTGAGTCTAGCTAAGAAGTTTAGATAATTATTGATGTTCTAAAAACCTATCCAAAATCAAATGCGATGTAATTTAAGATTAGTTTTAGATTTAATATATCCGTATTGAAAGCAAGTGAAAAGTGAAAGCAAAAAAATATAACTCAGTACTCACTGCAGTGAGTGACAGAGAGCGCATTTTATCGTCGACGAAAACATGAAGTCACGGACGGACAGACAGACAGACAGACAGATGGACGGACGGGCAGACGGACATGGCGAAAACAATAATGC